GGAAGGAGAGGAGGAGGAGGAGAGGAGAGAGAGAGGGAGGGGGGGGGTGAGGGAGGAAGAGAGAGGAGAGGGGAGGGAGGGAAGGAAGGAGAGGGAGAGGGGAGAAGGAGAGGGGAGGAGGGAAGGAGGGTGGAGGGAGGAAGGAGAGAGGGAGAGGGGAGGAGGGAGGAAGGAAGGAGAGAGGGAGGAGGGAAGAAGGGAGAGGGGAGGAGGGAGCGGAAGGAGAGGGAGGAGGAGGAGGGGTAGGAGGAGAGAGAAGAGGGGGAGGGAAGGGAGAGAGGAGAGGGAGGAGGGGAAAGAGGGGGGAGAAGAGAGGAGAGGGGAGGAGGAAAGGGGAAGGAGGGGAAGGAGGGAGGGAGGAGAGGGGAAGGAGGGAGGGAGGAGGGAAGGAGGGAGGACTGAGAGAGAGGGAGGAGGGAGGGAGGGAAGGAAGAGAGAGAGGGGGAGGAGGGAAGGAGGCGGAAGGAGGAGGAGGGGGAAGGAGAGAGAGGAGGGGGAGGGAGAGGAGGGAGAGGGAGGGGAGGGAAGGAGAGGGGAGAGAGAGAGGAGAGGGGAGGAGGAAGAGGGGGGAGGAGGGGGAGAGAGAGGGAGGGGGGAGAGGGAGAGGAGGGAGGAGAGACGGAAGAGAGAGGGGAGGAGGGAGGAGGAGAGGAGAGGGAGGAGGGAGAGGGAGGAAGGGAGGGAGGAGGAGAGGGAGAGGGAGGAGAGGAGAGGAGAGAGGGGAGAAGGATAGAGAGGAGGGGAAGAGGGGAGGGGAGGAGGGTGGAGGAGTGGAGAGGAGGGAGGGGAGGAGGGGAAGAGGAGAGAGGAGAGGAGAGAGAGAGAGAGAGAGACGAGAGAGAGCGGGAGGAGAGAGAGAGAGAGAGAAAGAGAGAGAGAGAGAGAGAGAGAGAGAGAGAGAGAGATGAAAACTGCACTATATATTACAGCCAGTCAACAAAACGATGAAACTACGAGAACGGGGATACAGATTAGATAAATTAACAACACCAAGGAAAAAAGAAAACATAACAGTAACAACCCCGGGGGAAAAAAATCATCACAACAATAACTCACAACAGGAAACTGCCCCATAAGGTCGAAGATCGTGGAATAGGGTCACCCGATAGCCACGCCCACCGGCCCTCGGCGCCCTGGTCATGGCCTCCCACCCACACGATGGAGTCCCCGGCGGGAGCTTTGGGGAGAAACGCGCTTGTTTATGTTGCTTCATTTACATTATTTCTATTCTATTTCTATTTCGTTTTACGCGTCTCTCTCTTTTTCTCTTTCTCTATCTATCTATGTCTATTCTATTCTATTTCTTTTCTCTCCTCTCTTCTCTCTCTCTTTCTTCTTCTCTCTCTCTCTCTCTCTCTCTCTGTCTCTCTCTCTCTCTCTCTCTCTCTCTCTCTCTCTCTCTCTGTCTCTCTCTCTCTCTTCCTCTCTCTCTCTCTCTCTCTCTCTCTCTCTCTCTCTCTCTCTGTCTCTCTCTCTCTCTCTCTCTCTCTCTCTCTCTCTCTCTCTCTCTCTCTCTCTCTCTCTTCTCTCTCTCTCTCTCTTCTCTCTCTCTCTCTTCTCTCTCTTCTCTCTCTCTCTCTCTCTCTCTCTCTCTCTCTCTCTCTCTCTCTCTCTCTCTCTCTCTCTCTCTCTCTCTCTCTCTAGTTCTGTCTCTCTCTCTCTCTCTATCTATCTATCTCTTTCTCTGCGTTTCTCCGTTTATCTGTCTGCCAGTCTGCACACACACACTCACACACACATATATGTGTGTGTGTGCGTGTACTCGTATATGCATACATATATACATATACAATATATATGCATACACATGTATACAAATACACATAAAAAGACTTACACGTATTCCGCACGAAGCTCTGGCCGACCTCCGCGTTCCAGAGGCCGTGGACCAGGTCTCCCCCGAGGCGCTGGCAGTACAGGCGCGCCTCCTCCCACGACACTTGCCTGGAACTTGCAAGGTGCAGGCAGACTCCGCCCACCTCTTGGAACTTGTCTGGACATGTGGGCGGGGACTCTGGTTGAAAGTGTTGATGTAGAGTATGTATATAGATACATGCATGCATATATAGAGATATAGATAGAGATATATGTATATGTATATATATAACGATAAATTAACACAAATATTTCTCTCTCTCTCTCTCTCTCTCTCTCTCTCTCTGAAGTTAAACGATGTTGTTTTTCTAACAATGAATTTTCAAACAGATATAGAAAAAAAATATCAGGCTACAACCACAGACCTTATTGTCTGTAACGGGAATATTAGCCTCTCATGTGAGTTTTCTCGCTCGTTATACCTGAAAATGCCACCGGTCGTTATATTGTCCACTACCCCCCCCCCCCCTACACACGCACGTCTTAGCTGCGTTGAAGGCTGAAGTGAGCTGACCTTACTTTTCAAGACCTTGCTACCTGGACAAATTTTCTTGTTTTGCCTTCATCGAATATTTTAATTGGATGATGATTTCGTACAGGTTGAGTAGATACTTAAATCTCTGAG